TCTTAAAAGTCGCCTCAGAAGCTTCTTCCCGTTCAAAAATTGGAAGAAAACTCGACCTGCTCATTATAGGTATACTAATCATGCGTTTTACTGCTCCCAATGGATTCCATGGGAAATTCTAATGAATTTAGGCTTTTGAATCACTCAATTTGACCTTATAATGAAGGAGATATGTAGGTTTTAAGATTTGCAAATAGTGCAGGTTTTTAACACGCCGTCAGGGGCAATTTCGTCATTAACCTGAAAATCTGGGCAACCTTGGTAAAATGGTCATAAAATCCTCATACGATGTCCAAATTCGACGATTCTTTTTGCTACGGGTCCGTAATTACGATACGGATCTAATGCTTCATTCAAAACAATAATAGGAGCTCATTTGTTCAATATGATATCATTTATGCTTGAAGAAACGACGTCGAAGCATAAGAAAAACGAGCACAACGCAACCCAAACCTATCCGAAACTCACCCGAGCTCCTCGGGACCGCATACGAAGATACTAACACGTCACATATGATCATTAAAACTTAGTTGCACTCTCAAAATACCAAAACTAACATCAAGACACCAAACTTACATCGAATCCAATTCTTCTAAAACTTCCTAAACACGCATTTGATCAAAAACTCAACCAAATCACCTCCGAATAACCTGAAATTTTGCACACACATCCCAAATCACCTAATGAAGCTATAGCAACTCTCGGAATTCCATTCCGACCCTCGGATCAAAATCTCACATATCAACCGGAATTCGCCAAAATACTAACTTCGCCAATTCAAGCTTAATTCTACACCGGACCTCCAAAATCACTTCCGATCACACTCCTAAGTCACAAATCATCCCCCGAAGCTAATCGAATCGTCAGAATCTGCATCCGAGCCCTCTAACTCATAGGTCAACATTCGGTTGACTTTTCCAAAACAAGCCTTCCTTAAAGAGACTAAGTGTCTCATTTCCTTCCAAAAATCAACCCAATTCAACTCGTTCACGCAAGACACTGATAATGAAGCATAACGAAGCAGGAAATGGGGGAAACGGAGCGGTTCTCATGAGACGACGGGTCGGGTCGTCACACATATCCATAAATTGGATTTCATAAAATATTTAATTCGATTGGCAGCATCAAGAGCAAATAATTTGGTAAAGAAAAGATAGCTAAACTCTACCTGCAGCTATAGCTAGCCCCATCGCGTCCAGACAGTTTATCCTAATTGGCATTCTACCTGAAGCAGTGTGAAAAAATTGGGCTCAAAGTAAATCATGGTGCAAAGAAGCCTATACTAGAATGCCAATTAGGTGGCAACCTAGAAAGTAAAGCATTTTTTAAAAAAAGGAAGGAAGAGCATATTGCATCTGGCTTCCTTCTCTTAACTCTTTATCTTACCTTAAACTTTTATAGATAAATCACGTCTTTCTTCTCCAACTCAGATCCTCTATAATATTTTTCAAACGGTTCAATATCAGCCTCCATGATCTGCAAAAAATATGTAAGGATTTCTCCAATTTTTTCAATGTTAAACGTATCTAATACTCAATTACTATAGACTTGGGTAACTGCTTTACTTGTTACATTTAGAGATGATGTATAGCTCGAAGAATTAAGCTCCTTCATGTATCCAACTATATCTTCTGTTGCATATGTCTTCAACTCGTATGCATTAGATGAAAACACAATATATAGATGTAATGAAGAATCGGTTTTTTTTTTTATCTAATCTATATCCTTTAGAAGCTGAACCACCAAACAGTACAATAGTTGTAGTAAACGCTGAAATATATTACGGTTAAAACAAACTATTTTTGTGGTTTTATTGAAAAAGCGAGCAACTTCAGGTGGCAACATGTATGAATATGTTAATAATGTTTTAAAGTAATTGCAAAAGTATTGAACTATAACCAATTTTGTGGTGTAGTAACCAAGAAACCTATTTAAAAGGATTATAACACTAAATTAAACCTTAATATCACATGATGAATTTAATAACCACACTTGATAATAAAATGCTAAAATTACGAAAAACCAATCAATTGCTAGCTATGAGCCAAAAAGGACAGAAGAGAAGTCATTACTTGTATGACAAACTAACTAAAACACATATACATGTTGCAGATATTGCTGACTCCTTGGTGAAAAAGAATGTTCTGCAAAAAGAAGAGGAGGATAACCGGACAAAGACATCTTATTGTACACTTCTACAGATTGTTGTGACGAATGCGAAAAGGTTGTGCAAAAAATAAATTATTTCCGGGAAAGATGAAAGAAACACACAATCAGTAATAACTAAAAAAAAATTTACATTGCTATAAATAAAGAATGTAAAAGGGCAGTACAAAGAGGTTACCACGGAAACTGAAACAACCAAAATATAAAGAGTGAAAAACTACAGGTAATAACTAAAGGAATGTACACACCTAATTCCTTCCTGCATCATCACGAGATGTTTGTGTTCCTTCTCTGTCTCTCTCATCAAATTCTCTATAATTGTCTTCTTAGATATCGTATTTATTTTGCTTTTTCGCCTTCTAATTATGAAAATAAATTTTAGAAAAATCTAAATATGAAAACATCTCTGTCTAAACTTCTTCCATGATAATTATGATGGAGATACGTTTTTTGGGAGTAACCGAAGGAATACGTTTTTGGGGAGTACTTGATGACAATATGAATGCCCTCAACCTAATTAAGGTCATTGAATTGATTATCTGAAACTACTGCTCTGATTCACTCGCTTAACTTCTAAAGTAATTAAAATATTAATTAATTGAAGGTTTATTATTTTTCTTTAGAGACAATGATAGTTCAGATTTTAAAGGGTATTATTGTAATATGACTTTGAAGGTAGGAGCTTCCTACTTTTAGTATAATATGAGATATGAGATATGAGATATGAGATATGAGATATGATATGATTGGTAAGGCATAGAGCCTGGCGAGACTATTTTGAGGTGACAAGAGCACGAATATCACAGACAAATACCTTTAAATGCTTCTACTAACTTTAGATGTTAATTTTTCTTCTAATTCTTTTCTCCCTTTTTGTGTGAGGGTGCTTCCTTCTTGTGCATTGTGAGCAATAACAAATAGTAAGCTGCAATAACTATGTCATTTTTAGCATTAGGATGTAAATGTGGAGCACTATTAATATGATCTCATAAGTCATAAGGATTGGTGATGGATATCATTGGAGTTTTGAAAGAGGTGAGAATTCAACTTGGTGGTGCAACTAATTAAAATTTGAGTTTTATTATGCTGACTTGAGGCTTGACGATAGTTAATTTGAGATTGGGGGATATATAGATCGAGCCACTGGAAATTTTGAGTGTTGAAGAAGATGGTGGTGCCGCCATCGAAGAGGTGCCAAGCTCTTCAAAGTTTGGACCGTTCCTATATATAGTTCAAGGACAAATTTGATCATTTTTTCTTTACCAGAAAGACCCATGTATCGGACACGTGGCATCACTGGGTGCTAAACAATATTATTAGAGACTAATTTGTTAGTCAATAGGGAATATCTAACTATTTTTGTAATGGTAATGATAGATTTGATCTCAACTATTCACGGAGGATAAATCTGAATTATTTCACAAAGTTTAAAGACAAATTTGACCCTTTTTTCCTTAAAAAAAAAAGGCCACATGTCCTAGTATCCTACTGTAGAGTTAGTGGTTGTCAATTCCATGTAGCAACGGTATAGAATTACACAGACATGCTCATGATTTGGCCATATATAGTGCTATAGTGTTTGATACAGTGCTTCTTGCTGCGTACGGCATCAAAAAGCAGTATTGGTGCCCACGTAGCTTAGCTATTCAATTGAGGTCCAAAATATGCAGAAACTAACTAATAGATTTGTCTCTAGGACAAAATTAATACCATAATGTCACAAATGCTCACATGCGTGTACAAAAGAAATTAACAGTAGAAGATGCACCAAAAAATAAAATCTCATGGTTGTTAGCTACTCTATAACCACAGTGAAAGTGACTATAATGCCGGATCTTATGAACGTTGAACCAAATATTCAAAAGAGAATGTGCATGAGCAGTATCAAACAAGTTCTTCGAGTTTAGTCGTACTCTGTTATAATTAATTAGCTGTTGGAATCACCAATAAACAAGCAACAACCACTTCAAAAAGGCTTCCCGGTAAAATCATATAACTACACGGTATTGATTTATTGTGTACCCTGCATTGATAATTTTTTGTTACAATGCACTTGTTGCATGTGTTATTACTTGTACGTTTCTGATTTGTTTGCGTAACTGACTCTTCAAAGACATACTACTATGTCGCCTTGGTCATATAGCTCAAATGATGTTTGCTCACTGAGTCCTTTTATATTAACCATAACATGAAGTGTTTTTAGAGAATTTTTAGTTTTAGAAAAGCCTAATTTGACTTCTTTACTGATAAAAAAAAACTCTTATTTGACTTGCATTTATTGTTGGAGTGAAATGGATTTGAACAGAGTGGAATGGATAAAGATGATTCATATGGTAACACCAATTAATTTGACAGTGAGAGTAGTTGATTGTTTAATTGACTGACTGAAACATGTAATGGTTTTGCATTCATTTTTACTTGATGCAACTCTGTAACTGATATTTATGTTACATTTATCCTTTTTCAGATTATGTTTCATTTCCCATGAAAGAATCACAATGTTGTGTGTTATTTACCATGCGTCAAAATAGGCACATGTTTGCGAAAAAACTGAATTTGGTTTAGTGCTTATATATTAAAAGAATTACACCACTACATTTTTTAAATAGAAGATTAGTACAAGCAACTCTTATAATATTTGCAAAACTAAAAGATTTCAGCTAATACGAGCTTTAAGCTACATGATTCTGCTTTCAAGCTAGCATTGTGCTATTTGGCAAGTATTCTTGATTTTATTTTTCTTCACACTGCATTACAATTAAGAGTAATAGTTCTCACTGCTTTTCTTCACTATTTTTTTGTGAGTAAGAGTTCTACTAATTATAAAGTTGGTGCAGCTAGCATTTACATGCAAGACGTTTGGTTATGATGGAGATCACTCGATTTGACTCATGTATTTAGGAAGTGTAAAGTCGAGGGAAATTCTAGAGCACCAATACAGACACCGGCAACCTTGATGTTCATGGATTGGTACATTCCTATTACTATTATCGACTTTCTGATGTTATTTTCCTGAAACTGCTTTAATCTTTTGGTTTAGTCTACTTTACTTTCGAACCATGAAAGGTTGTGGCCTTTTAAGTGCATTATGACTGTATGTAGAATTCCCTGGAAGGTTCTCGAATAAAGTTGGCTCTTCCTATCATATTATTCTTTTACCTATCTTATTATTTGAGTTGATATAGTAAGAGTTTTGATTTCATACTTTTAATATTATTAGCACAAGCATTTCAGCTACTTTGGCTAATAACTGATTTTCATGCTCCCTTGAACTCTTTATTCTGGGATGCTAATTTGCAAAATTAGAAAACAATTGCACTGTTCTCTCAGCTGCAACATCCAATTATTTACTGCCTCTTCACACATAAAGATTGCTTAATTTCACTGGTTGGTCTATGCATATTGGGAGATTTATTTTTCCCAGTCTGCAAAGGTACATAAAATATCTTAGTGACAACAAGATTAGTGCATGTAGTATTGCCTTAGTAAACTACCCTCTCAAGATACTCATTTATTTTTTTTTTTTTTTTGGTTGAATCCATTTTAGGGTAACATTTTATGATCTGATTTGATCTTTTGCAGTTACAAAGTAAAGTGTGAGGGAGAATTTAGAGTCAAAGGCACAATTAATTCTAAAGGTATTGCTTGAGGGATTTTTCCTCTTCTCCATCAACCTTCATCACGGACAGTGATAAACTGTTGACCACAATAGAAAGATATTGAATTTACTGAACACTATTATATAATTTCCTGTACCTTTAGTATTAACTAATTTTGCACATGCATATACTCATTGACTAATTTGATTCAATCTTGCAGCTATCAATTATAAAAAAAGAACTCAAATAGAATGGAGAAAAGCTTTGCGTACAAAATTCCCAAAGGCCAGTAATGAACTTATGTTTTGCCAATTATTTTATTTAACATTTAGCTTGCTTGTGTTTTCAATTGAAGTTGACAAATGAGCTATTTTAGCTTTTAAAAACCAGAAGTAAGGCAGTATGTCTAATTTTGAAGAGTTAACTAAAACAAGAACAACTAGGCTTACAATAGGGGAATGATGCTGATAAATCATTATCTTGGTATGTTGTGTTATGAACTTGTAGCCAATATGATTGGATACTTCGATGAACGTCCAGCATAAGCATTTCTGCTTTGGTGATAATTTAAGTAAGTTCTGATAGATTGTTTTCAGCAAATCATGATTTCACCTACTAAAAAGTTGAAAATTAGGTTTGTGGTAATAGAATATAAATCTTTTCTTGCTGGAAACCAATATATGAACATTGATGTATTAGCTTTTGTTTGCAATTCAATAAATTCATTTAATGTTTAATTTGGTTAACACCACACATTTTTAACCTCTTTGTAAGTTATAGTGCACGATACTCTAAATTTTGTTTTTGTTGTTGATGAAGAAGTATTTGGGATCTTTAGGTCTCTCCAATGGAGTAAGAGGAACAATTGAAGCCCTGAGATTTTCTTAAAATAAAATATTCAACCAGTTGAGGAAGAAGGAGTTGAGGAAGAAGGACAGAGCTTTCTAAATGCTTGAAGGATAACAGATTGTTTGCCGAGACCTTGAGAGCTGTTGTTTTAAGCCTCAGTAGCTAAATATTCTGATTGGATTTTTCGAGAAAAGGTCCCTGCTTAATTTATCAGTTGTGATAACATTTACTTGTTTTGTATTTTTATTTCCATTCTTTACTTATAGTTGATTAATTATTTTTCATTTCACTTTTTTATCTTATTCTTTCGTTGATTTTTGCAGTACATGAACCATTGCTCTGATTTCCATATAAATCTCAAAGATAGATAGCTAGCAAGTCAAGCTACAAAGCTAATTCCTTTAATTTACATTTCAAATATTTTTCATCGACTACCCTGGATAGCAAAAGCCCACAAAAGGAAAACCTAGAATATGCATCAAGAATCAGATCAAAAGCACAAACAACTTAGATAAACCGAGGAAAAAAAAGAGACCCATAATCATACTTGATGATAAATCCAAAGTGATTCTGTTAGAAATATGCATTAGAAGCTGCTCTCAGTAAAATTATTTTACTGTTTCAGCTATTTACTGCAATAATTTAGTTTGAATTTGAAATAATTTTGAACTAGTCTTTAGGAGTGAACTAGTCTCTAGGAGTTAGTTATTTTCAGCATATTTTGTGCTGATTTTTAGGTCTTTTAAGTTAGTATTTCTCTTATAAATTGTAGTCCAAATGCAGTAAAATAATATAGTATTTTCAGCTTCAGTTCCTTTTACATCTATTCCAGTATATCTTTTTATTTTCTTGTCATCTTCCCAGTTATTTCCCTTAATTTCTTTTATCAAGAACCAACAATTGGTATCAAGAGCCATCTTCTTAAGGGACCTAAGTAAAATCTTTTCTTGAGTGAGATGGAGATTGAAATGAGTTTTTCTCAATTGGCTCCTCCAGTCTTTGATGGTGAAAATTACCAACTGTGGGCAGTGAGAATGGAGACTTACTTGGAGGCTTTAGATCTTTGGGAGGCCGTGGAAGAGGATTATGTTCTTCCGCTGCCTAACAATCCCACGGTGGCCCAGATCAAGAGTCATAAGGAAAAGAAAACTAGGAAATCAAAGGCGAAAGCAACTTTGTTTGCTGGTGTGCTGCAACAACTTTCACGAGAGTTATGACTCTCAAATCAGCAAAAGAAATCTGGGATTATCTGAAGGGAGAATATACAGGAGATGAAAGAATTCGAGGCATGAAAGTGCTGAATTTAATAAGGGAATTCGAGTTGCAGAAAATGAAGGAATCTGAGACTGTCAAAAAATACTCAGATCGGTTGCTTGGCATTGTTAACAAGGTAAGATTGCTTGGTACTAAATTTAAAGATTCAAGAATTGTTGAAAAATTCTTGTTACGGTGCCTGAAAAATATGAAGTATCCATAACTACCTTGGAAAATACAAAGGATCTATCCAAGATTACCTTGGCAGAATTGTTAAATACATTGCAGGCACAAGAGCAAAGGATGCTTATGAGGCAAGATGGTATGGTTGAAGGAGCCTTGGCAACCAACCACAAAACTCAAAGCAAGGGTAATAATGTAAAAAAAAATTACCCACCTTGTCAGCACTGTGGCAAAAAAGGTCATCCACCGTTCAAATGTTGGAAGAGGCCAGATGCAAAGTGCAAAATTTACAACCAACTTGGTCATGAAGTTGTAATTTGCAAAGGCAAATATCAAAAGCATGAAGCAGATGCCCAAGTCGCCAATGAAGAAGAAGAAGAAGATCACTTGTTTGTGGCAACTATTCTTTCAACTAAAAAATCTGATTTTTGGTTGATTGACAGTGGTTGTACAAACCACATGACATATGACAGAAATCTTTTCAAAGAGTTCACGTCTATAGGAAATAAGAAAGTCAGAATTGGAAATGGTAATTATATTCTTGCTAAAGGAAAAGGAACTGTTGCAATCCCAACAAATTCAGGTACTAAGAAAATTTCACATGTTCTTTATGTTCCTGATATTGATCAAAATTTATTAAGTGTTGTACAACTAATGGAAAAAGGATTTAACGTCTCCTTTGAAGATAAATATTGTATCATTTATGATGCAACTGGACTTGAGATTTTAATTAAAATGAGAGGTAAAAACTTCTCATTTGATCCAACCGAAGATGAAGAATGGAGCCCAAAGAATCTACAAAGTGCAGATAATCCTCCAAAAGAGGACATATGTGAAAATGAGACAAAGAAGTTGCCAATATTTCAGAAAAACAAAATTTGGAAGAAAGTTTACAAGCCTCAAGGCAAAATGCAAATGTGGAAGAAAGTTGACAAGCCTCAAGTCAAAATGAAGCCGAAAAAAGAGCCAACTTATTTCATTGACAATCATGAGATGCAGCAAAATAGAAAATTGAACTCAATTTACTACAAGTCCAAAGATCAGTTGGCAGATTTACATACAAAGTCGCTTTCAGTTAAAGGTTTACAAGGCACAAATTCAGAATTTGCAGCTTCAAAAGCAAGGAGGAGTGTTAGAAATATGCTTTAGAAGCTGCTCTCAGTAAAATTATTTTACTGTTTCAGCTATTTACTGCAGTAATTTAGTTTGAATTTGAAATAATTTTGAACTAGTCTTTAGGAGTGAACTAGTCTCTAGGAGTTAGTTATTTTCAGCATATTTTGTGCTGATTTTTAGATCTTTTAAGTTAGTATTTCTCTTATAAATTGTAGTCCAAATGCAGCAAAATAATATAGTATTTTCAGCTTCAGTTCCTTTTACATCTATTCCAGTATATTTTTTTATTTTCTTGTCATCTTCCCAGTTATTTCCCTTAATTTCTTTTATCAAGAACCAACAGATTCAAATGGACAGATGAAAAAATAAAAAATAAGATAGTAAGTAAGATAAAAAGAAGTAAGTAATAAAGAAGAAAGTGAAGTGGGGTTGTTACACGAAAAGGTCAAGAAGCATGTGTTCAGGCAAGAAAGAGAGATCAGAAAAGGAAGAAATATGGAGGAGGGCAGAGCCAATAGCGAGACAAAGAAGGGAAGGCGGGTCGGTTCTCATTCATGCATTCATTTATTTATCCCTTTTACTCACTCCGATACTTTCTCCTTTTGCTAACACATGTGACAGAGCAGTAGAACAAAGCAATCACTTGTTTATATCTAAAGATTTGTATTGTCTGTCAATGGAGAGAACTTGTGTTGGAAGCTATCCTATGAAGAGACATACTGAAAAGTGAAAACCATGCCTTTCGAATTGAATGCAATACTTGTCTTCCAAATAAAAAATGGCTTATTGGCTTTGGTTGGCTGCTATAATGCTGCATAAAATAGTATGGACCAGCCTTGATTCACATTTTTACCATGTAGGAGTTGTATTGCAAGACTTTGACCTGCTCAATGTAACATTTGTATTTTATATTTCTGTAAAGAAAAAATAGAAATTTGACTTGTCAAAAAGCTTTCTTATTGTTTGTCACTACTATCTTTACATGACTGATGGTGATACACAGGTGAGAACTAATTTACTAAAGGATATAGGTAATATTTATTGACCTGTTAATTATTCTTTTTAGGGAAAATGAAGAAACGGAGTTTAGATGAAGTGTTTGATGAATATCCTGAGACAGTATTCCAAGCAACTTTTGATAATAAGTAGTACACTTGGTCTTTTAGGCCTGGTAAATCATGTGCTTTTGAAGATCTATTTTCCCAAAGACAAGAAACAGAATCAGAAAGGAGGATGAAAACACAACCAAGTGTGACCAATGCAAGACCATAGAGAATTTGTTTTGTTGTTCTTGAAACTTACTTTTTGGCATATTTGCTACCATGTATGATTAAACAACTGAAAGACTCCTTTTACCAGTTAGAAAATTTCAACTTCTTCAGTGATATTTTGTTATAGCAATCAAGCAAAAAGCATAAGATCATTGTATTTGGCATTCCCTATCACCCGTTCACGAACTCATTAGCTACTACTTTGCCAACATCTCTTGGCACGCCCTCAACCTAAATTAATATGTCGATCTTTTTCCATATTGAGTTTAATACTAGAATTACCTTAGCACAAATATATGTATAAAATTTTGTGTGCCCTCGGTTTTGCGGATTTTATCGCATTTAGCATCAAAATGTACTTGATATTCATAGTGCATTTGACAACAAAAAATGAATCGTAGTAGTTGCTTTTACAAATTTTAATTGATGTAAGCCTGTCTGTAACGGTAACGACAAAAATTTCTGGTCTGTAGCCATTTGTTTGAAAAATATGGATTAGGAACTTGGCAAGTAAAATTTTAAAAGCTGGAAAATCACATTTAACAACTTTTAATTTTTGTTGGATTCATGGCAGGTTTCATTTGCTACTTTCTTACTTGAGAATAGTAACTCAAGTCCATTATCTAAAAGAACACCTATAATGTTCATGGATAAAAGAAGCGCAAAAAAATTGACTGAACATTAGCTTGACACATCCTAATGTAATCTGTAATGTTTGTGTGAGAGACAAAAATTAAGTTATCTGTAATGTTTGTGTGAGAGACAAAAATTAAGTAATCTGCAATGTTTATGTGAGAGAGATTCCAGAAGAGAATGATTGCACATAGGTCAAACATTCTGCTGTATCTGGTAACGTATATGATTTCTTTTGTAAATGATTTAAAAAGTGATTGCTCTCGAGAAAAACTTGTGGCTCTTAATAACTCCTTTTTGAGTTGAAATTGAGTTTGATCTTAAGTTTTATTTTGGACCATTTTGAATCTTTGATGATTGTGTGAAATTGATGAAGGGTTGATTTGATTACTTTGCCCTAATTATTTTGGGATGGCTACTTCAGATTGCACTTTCATATATTTCCTTAAAATTGCATGCCATCTGTTTGACCAATTGGTTGAACCACAACCATTGTTCAAGCAGATTGGCAAAGTTCTCTGCCGCAGCAAGTATTATTCTTGGATCATCCATAGTTTAAATAATTTGCATACTTATGCATTGGTCAGTACCCTTCACGAGACAACAATTTATTTGTGGAACTTTTTTGAAATTTATTCATTGTTTGCTTTTCCTTCAATGAATCATCGATTAAGTGAGACTTCTTCAAGCCATGGTTGACTTTCATTTGGGCTGGAATCTTACTCAAAACCTCTGACAATTTGAGCAAATATTGAGATCATATACTTTCGGTTTGACGGTGTTCCTCACATTTACGTTATTATAATTCGAATCATTGTTTCACATGATTATATTATCGATAGAATCATTGTTTCATGTGAATATCCGTTCTTTTTTAATTCCAATTTCTACTTTTGTGAAGAACATTATAGAAACATTAACTACTTAACTATGTATTTATGGACTATTAACCATCTGATGTAGAAACCAATGCTAAAGTTGAAACTGCCTGTATTATCCGATTAAAACTAGATGTATTGTGCCTCTCGTGTATGAGCTCAATACTTTTATTGACAAAGGAACCAACTGTTTTAAGGAAATATCTGAAGAAGATTTTAACATAGCTTCAAACAATGAAGCAAGTATAACTTAATATGAAGAGGTTCCACAAATGTCAAGCTAGCAAAAAAGATGGCATTTCTCCTTATGACTTGCCCGATCTCCATACGTGCATGCTGACCAAATTTTGTGGTTGGAACATGTGTATTGTTGTCTTCTTGGATAAAATTTACCGAACAAATTATTCTAACATCCTGTATTGGTATTGCTCTTTTGAATGCAGTTAAACTGCTTTCTGGATACTCCTATACTTGGAATATGTCATGGCGACACGAGGTAAGCATACTTGATTACAAATCTAAACTTTCTTTTTCCCATATTATTTTGACAGAAAGATTTAAGTAGCTCCAATTTCTTATTAACCTTCTTGCTCTTTCTTCGTCTTTTTTGCTTTTTTTAACTTAAGTAAATATTTATTTTGCTATACTTTTTGTCATAGTGAAATACTGAAACTATACTATAATCATTTGGGACAGAGAGGGGACGTAAAACTATACTATAATAATGTGGAATATATAATAATAATTGATCAAAGGTGAAAAGAGCCAAGTTCGTTGGTAGTGTATATTATATACACAGAGAGACTGTAGCCAAGATGTCATGGAATATGAATATATGATATAATGATAGTTTCCAGACTTTTCATTGTCTTATTGTGTGTGAAGAATATATGTGATTGAATGTGCAAGAGTAAGATTGAGAACATTACAAATTTAAGTGCTACAGAATACGGTTGAAATTAAATATTATCTTACAATGTCAAGTGCAATTGATGATGGAAGAATTAGGGAGTGGGATGCAGTACCAATTTGTTGCTTATCCCTATCAATGTTTCACTTGGGATTTTTATTTGTTTGTTGGCGAAGACTCCTGTAAATAGCTTGAATTTGTGACATTCGGTGATTCATTAATGTCAAAAAAGAATAAGATGACAGAGCAATAAAGGGAATCGTACAAGGGTATATTAGCCACCTGTTCCAAAAGAAAGTAGTGGAACTTGGATCAACAGGCAATAGTCTTCTCTTCTTAAGATATACGTAGTGGCTCATTCTTTGAATTGTGAGGATGTATGCAAATTTACCAATAGAGAAGAATTTGGTTTAGTTGAGTCCAAGCACTCAAAAGTTCTGTGACTAATTACCAAACATTTTGCCATTCTGTATATTTTTGACATGTTTATTTGATTGCAGATATTTTTGGCCAAGAACTACTAGAAAAAGGACCAGAAAGAAGACCAAAGACCGCATACGTAAATAGTTATGTCATACATGTTGTAAATGCTGTGGCAAACAATGTATATCTTGTTCAAAATATATGTAAATTAAGTGTGTATCACTTAGCATGAAATATTATCTACTCGATGCTTGCGAGTTTAATTTAGCTGCAATTATATATCATGCAGAGTTAAATAATGTTGGGCCTGTGCTGGCACAGGCTGCATCAACCTAGTTTCTATATATTAGAAGAGCTAGTGGTTTCGACATGTGTGTTTAGTGGAATTTAATTCAGATCTGAGGGCAATTTAGACATTTAATCTATTAGCTAATGTGGTTTTGTTTCTGCAGCCAACACATCTTCTTTGCTTTCTTTATTAGCCACGTATCTCTTAAGTTTTTCTTTAATTTAGATTTTGAGATTGATTCTCACATCTGATTCTCTTCGAGCACAAATCTAGCTGTAGGTATGTGTTCAATCAATTTTGCACTTATCTTTTTTCTACTTTTTCCTTCCTTCTTTTTCCATTTTGGGTTTCTTCTAGGTGCTCTTCATCATTGTTAATTTTGATTCTGAAGTTCAGTGATTGTTGTAGGTTCTTTTCTGATTGTCTCCAGATCCTTTTTCTGTTCTTTTAATTTCTGCCTTATATTCTTTTGGGTTCTCTATGATTTTAAACTTTGCAATCTTATGGCATGTGTGTGTTAAATCGAGTGGTAAAACAGTGTTTTTAATGCAATTTCATGGTTGATGTATGCTAAATCGAAGTCTGCGAGTCCTGTAGGTGCTAAATGGGAGGCTGATACTCAACAAGTCTTAATTTAGGATTTTTTTTTTATTTATGAAATTATTTGCAGCTCAAATTTTATTTTGGCGAAGATGAATTGAAATCAAAAAAATAATTCAGTGTCCTTGGACAAAAATTGATTTTTGTGTGACACTGCGTGGGAACATCAGGTGCGAATAATTTTTTTACCTAAACGAACAATCGTAAGAAATTAAAGGTAAAGCAGCTCTCAAGTGTGTCTTAATGTTAGATGTTATATACCATGTTGAACTTTCTTTTTCTATAAACCTTTTTCTGATATGAAATTGCACAAAAATAAAAGTTAATACAAGATACATGAGTAACTTTTGTTAGGGGCCTTTTAGCTGTTTACAAACAAAACAAAATCAAGTCGGATCACCAGCATTATAAAGTTGAAGGACAGTCTACACAGAGTTCAAAATCAGCATTCTTGTTTGGGTCTTTCTGCCACAAACATCACAGGTTTTCTTCATTTGTGGACAGTCCACGCGAAGCTTAACTTTGCTAGCCAAACCAGCAAATGACACTTGCAGTTGGAGAAAGAGAAGTTTACTTAGCTAAGGAAAGGTCACAATTTCACATCCTGAAAAAAAGAAAGAGATGAGAATAATAACCTGTCATTAGATATTTGTATCGGAGTAGAGCATGTGGAGGGCCAGAATCCCATAATGACATCCTTAAATTCATGAGATAGATGGTCAACTGCAGTGATCAAGAAAGAGCAATAATATAGGTCACACTACAATCCCCCATAAAACAACATTAGAAGACTGACATTATACATGATTTTGTGCTTCCCATTGTCAGTAGCAATTTGGGAGAATACATAAATTCTGCTTCATGGTTTCCGTGCAAATGATAAGAAGAACAACAACTAACACTCAACTAATAAATCATCTCAACCTCAACTATTAAAATTTTTAACTAAGATAAAAACAACTATACTACACACAATAGAGTAAGAAATAATTTCAGTATTACAGTATAATTTAAGCAATAGTTTACGTACCTCCAGCAACTAAGGTGTTGCAGGTGGTGAACACCAAATTCTCCCTTCATATTTTCACTTGTAGATACTCCAGTTGTGATGAGATCCACGTCAACATATTCAAGAAACATATTAAATAGTGCTCAGTATACTTGAAACAAGTCAATGATATAAATGAGTTTTCAATTGAACATTTACACGAAAGAGGTATTTTTAAACTGGAAGAATCTTCTTCGCTCAACCAAAAGTTATTTGACGTTCTAAGAATTAAAATTCAAAACAGAATAGCTGAGTACCAATTATCTTATGCATTTAAGAAGACAAAGTAGTGTCTCCAGCTTACAGGCTAAACGCTATGTTAGAGTAAACATGTTTCTTAGAACATTACTTGCAACAATCTACAGTACGTACTCTAAACTATATAGCTCTTTCAGCCTTTATCGAAAGTCACTTCAACATACCAAAATTAGAGACAACAGCTCCCCTCGACCACCTTTATTGTGCCAAATAAAATAAGTCAAACACTCGAATCCAAAATGGAATAAACATAATACTGCCAATATATAGCTCTTTCAGCCTTTACTGAAAGTCACTTTACCACACAAAAATTAGAGACAATAGCTCCTCTTAACTACATTTATTGTGTCAAACAAAATAAGTCAAACTTACCAAGACATTGCTATTTAAAACTTTGACTTGTCAGATATACTTCTTTGTAAAAAAAATCATATTGACATAGAAGCTTTCGAGTCCCCATCAATATGGTATATTTCACTCATGGTGGAGCACATAATCGAATTAAAAAACAAAATATGAAAAAGAGATATGGACCTTAATGATGAACAGAACTTTGATCAATATTACTTCAACCACCAAATCCTTGAACGCCAAACCTCAAACATAGTCTCTTAAGACATCCTCGTACAAATGGACCTTGACAAATAAACATTGGATTATAAAGTAGACCAAGCCCGAACATCACATTAACCAAAGGACTCCTAAGAGCACGTATCGTTGCTTCCGAGAAGAGAAGAACAAACCAAAATGCTAAAGAAAAGCTCATGCAATATTGAGTGGTAAATAAAACATTTACTTATCAAGTGCATTAATTGCTTATTAGACACTTAATTAGCAGTATAATACGATCAATATTTTTTTTTTGGCAATCTAGATAACAACACAACGCAAAAGATTCTTCAATTCTCAATAAACAAGGGCCATAGTCAATATGTTTAGCAGTCCCCTTTGAGAATCTATAGTGGTATGCATTTCAAAATAATATAGCAATAACAACTAGCATTTCTGGAAAGTTGTATTTCACTAATAGAACTAGCAAACTTTTTATTTTATTTAAAAGATCTCCAGCCAGGAATTGATATTTGAATTTTTTTTGTTTCTAATAGACCACCCTTAATAATCAAACCAGCATGAAAGCATCAGAATGAAAAATGTGTACAAACTGGTGGCCAACTGGAAAACAAATCGAACAAATTTATTTGACACCAATATACAACCACCATTTATTTGTATTTTGACAAAAATTAGTCATAGTCATTGTGGCAGAGTCAACTTCACTAAACTACACCAGCAAAAGACCAAACAAAATAAGGGGAAAAAAAGTTAAGACAAAATAACTAAAAATCGGTACGAAACTAAACTATAGTAATCAACCAGAAAATAAGAAAAAACTCTTCGCTAAAACTCTTTCAATTCTTCTACTAGACAACCTAAAGATCCCTAAGAGATAAGCAAACACCAGCACTGAAAGAACAAAAATACACAAAAGCTGAGAAAATACATATTTACAAGAGTTAAAGTTCAAATTAAAGTGGTATAGATTAAGCAGAAGATTTTACCAAACGTAGATTCAAGTGTCACCGGTGATGGAGATGAATTATCGCTGGCGATGGAGATGAATTGCTGCTGGTGATGGAGATGAAGTGTCGCTGGAAACCCTAAAGTAAGAGAAGGAAATATTGGGCATATTTTGAGTTCTCGGTTATTTAAAAGGTTATAAAATTAAAAGAAATATACCGGCGATTCAAAACTAACGCACAAGTGCCGTATTAAAAATATTAAATATGGCGCCTACAAATCCGCCATTATTTAGAGTCAATTACAGCGGCTCTATTTAACCGTCATTTTATAACCGCCACAATTTTCGCGATTTTTTTTGTGGTGAAAGAACTTTTAAATTGTCCAAAATACTGAAATTGATTGAGAAAAAGTCTTAACGTTTATCTTACTTATTTAGACACTTAATATTTTAAAATGAGATAAACAGGACAATAAGGGGGAAACATAAAATAAAAATAAAGTCGAAGAGAAAAAGATAGATGGCTTTCTTGGTTGCGTAGATTTGCCATCTCACATTCTCCACAAAAACTTCATATAAGTAAATATATAGATATCCATTCTTCCACTACGTGTATCATGTATGCTATTAAGAATGGTTATATAGACGTTTTATTACGCCGCAAAACTCTTTTCCTAGTTTCCTTTAGTTATCTTTAATTCCTTGAAGGTGCTAAAAGTTTTAACTCACACATTCTTATTTTTGAAATCAAATAATCATGTCCATGTAATATTTTTTAAAAAAAAAAATATTCCTGTAATATTTGCATGAGCAGACTATGCTAAAAAGGTAAAACTATCTTGGTCAGCATGAAGTTTACGCGCACTTACAACTTTCAAAATTACTTATCATGAAATTGAATTATGAAACACTTTTTAGAGAAGAGACAAGCTTTGATTAGGGAAGAAGGATTTTGTCGTAGCCTAAACACCTGTTAGTGCCTCTCTCTTTTTTTTTTTTTCCAGCAATGCAAACTTCTGCTAAACTACAAAATTATGGAATTGTGACTCAACAAATAGATGGCTAAACAATATGTAGATAGTCGTATAGTCAGATATAAAAACACATGTATTCCATATTTTTAATTGTAATTGCATCATAGAGGAGGAAGTATTATTTTTAACTGATCCATGAAATCTGAAATTGCATATCCATAAATTGGATTTCATAAAATATTTAATTCGATTGGCAGCATCAAGAGCAAATAATTTTGTAAAGAAAAGATAGCTAAACTCTACCTGCAGCTATAGCTAGCCTCATCCAGTCCAGACAGTTTATCCTAATTGGCATTCTACCTGAAGCGGTGTAAAAAAATTGGGCTCAAAGTAAATCATGGAGCAAAAGAGCCTATAGTAGAATGCCAATTAGGTGGCAGTCTAGAAAGTAAAGCATTTAAAAAAAAAAGGAGGAAGAGCATATTGCATCTGGCTTCCTTCTCTTACCTCTTAATCTTACCTTAAACTTTTATAGATAAACCACGTCTTTCTTCTCCAACTCAGATCCTCTATAATTTTTTTCAAACGGTTCAATATCAGCTAGCCTCCTTGATCTGCAAAAAATATGTAAGGATTTCTCCAATTTTTTCAATGTTAAACGAATCTAATACTCAATTAACATAGACTTGGGTAACTGCTTTACTTGTTACCTTTAGAGATGATGTATAGCTCGAAGAATTAAGCTCCTTCATGTATTCAACTACATCTTCTGTTGCATATGTCTTCAACTCGCTAATAGGTATACATTAGATGCAAACACAATATATAGATGTAATGAAGAATCGTTTTTTTTTTTATCTATTCTATATCCTTTAGAAGCTGAACCACCAAACAGTACAATAGTTGTAGTAAAAGAGTGACACTCTGAAATTTATTATGGTTAAAACAAACTATTTTTGTGGTTTCATTGAAAAAGCGAGCAACTTCAGGTAGCAACATGTATGAATATGTTAATAATGTTTTAAAGTAATTGCAAAAGTATTGAACTATAACCAATTTTGTGGTGTAGTAACCAAGAAACCTATTTAAAAGGATTATTACACTAAATTAAACTTTAATATCACATGATTAATTTTGATAACCACACTTGATAATAAAATGCTAAAATTACGAAAAACCAATCAATTGCTAGCTATGAGCCAAAAAGGACAGAAGAGAAGTCATTACTTGTATGACAAACTAACTAAAACACATATACCTGTTGCAGATATTGCTGAGTGAAGTACACTCCTTGGTGAAAAATAATGTTCTGCAAAAAGAAGAGGAGGATAACCGGACAAAGACTTCTTATTGTACACTTCTACAGATTGTTGTGACGAATGCGAAAAGGTTGTGCAAAAAATAAATTATTTCCGGGAAAGATGAGAGAAACACACAATCAGTAATAACTAAAAAAAAATTACATTGCTATAAATAAAGAATGTAAAAGGCAGTACAAAGGGCAGAGAAACACACAATCAGTAATTCCTTCCTGCATCATCACGAGATTGTGACGACCCGGCCGGTCGTCTTAAGAATTAACATCCCGATTCCCTATTAACTGCTTTCCCCAAGTCTATTTATGCTAATTTGAATTGTCGGGATGTTCGGTTTGAGCTTCGGAGAGTTTTGGGATACTTAGTCCTTAAATGAGAGCTTAAGTGTTGGAAAATTGCCCGTAGTCGGAACAGTGCGAAGACGGCCTCGGAATGGAAATCTGATGGTTCCGTTAGCTCCGTTAGGTGATTTCGGGGTTGGGAGCGTCTTCGGAATGTCTTTTGGAGGTCCGTAGCTGATTTAGGCTTGAAATGCCGAAGTTTGAATTTTTGAAGTTTCCGGTCCGATAGTGAGATTTTGATCCAAGGGTCGGAATAGAATTCCAGAAGTTGCAGTAGCTCAGTCATGTCATTTGGGATGTGTGTGTAAAATTTTAGGTCATTCGGACGAGGTTTGGTTAGGTTTTTTATCGAAAGCGTGTTTTGATGGAATTTGAAGTTCTTAGGCTTAAATCATTGGTTAATTCGAGTTTCCGACGTTATTTTAGGTGGTTTAAGGGTTGGTACAAGCTTGAATGATGTTATGGGATATGTCCGTAGGTTTGGTTGAGGTCCCGGGGGCCTCGGGTGTGTTTCGGGTGCTCAATAGAGCATTTTGGAGTTGTGAAAAGTTGTAGAAAATCCTTCAGCAGTTGCAGGTCCAATTCCTTCTTCGCGTTCGCGACGCTCCTATCGCGTTCGCGTAGCTCTGACCTTCTTCTTCTTCGCGTTCGCGTCCTCCTCCACGCGTTCGCGTAGTGTAATCTGGGAGGAGGACAAATTTCTTCATCGCGTTCGCGTAGCACTGCCAGTCCAGGCCTTCGCGTTCGCGTACCATTCCACGCGTTCCCGAAGGACAATTTTACAGCCTTCACTTTTTCTTCTTCGCGAACGCGAGCCTACTTCCGCATTCGGGACGCATTAAATGACTGGACAGTTATAAACAATTCAAAACCGAGGGTTAGCCATTTTTATCAAAACACAAGCTTGGGAGCTCGGATTTGGGAGAAATTTTGAGGGATTTTCGAGGGCAACGACTGGGTAATGATTCTCTACTCTCTTATGCTTAAAACCCACTAATCTAATCACGAATTCCTCCTTAATTTCGGATTTTTGAATGAAAGATGGGTAAAACTTCATAGACCAAATTATTGAGTTTTGAGTGGGTGTTTGACCTCCTATTTGAGAGATTTTTATATGGTTAGACTCGTGAGAGTACGAGCGTTCTGGAAATGTAAAATTTATCCAATTTCAAGACGTTGGTCTGAGGGGCGTTTTGGTCATTTTACCTAAATTCACGTCTTAGCTTTAAATTAAATAGTAGAATCAGTTGCTTGAGATGTTATTTATGATATGTAATTGAATTGAATAGATTTGGGGTATTTGGAGTCGGATACTCGTGGCAAACGTGTGGTTTCGAGTTCATTTTGGAGCCGGTTTGAGGTAAGTAGCTTGTCTAAC